ACCTCTTGGAAGGATGGAGCTAATTATCTAAAGTCATTGAGTAGACTTAAATAGAATAGGATATAGAATTCTTTATTGGCCAAGTGTGATTGGACACCTAAGGAATTTGTCTTGGTGCAAATGCTCTCAGTGTATATAAAAAGAAAAGATACAGTCATCAAAAGTCAAGAATCATTAGGTGCAACACTTAATGATAGTTATACGGTACAATAAGCAAACAAATCATACTAGGAAACAGTCAATAAAAATGGTAAGGATACAAGCGACAAAGTTACAGTCATACAGTCATAAGTGGGAGGGGAGGAGTGAAAAGGAGTGATGAGCAGATTAATAGTAATAGTTGACTTTGTAAATATTTGGACAATGTTGAGGGAATTATTTGTTTAGCAGAGTGATGGCGATTCGGGGAAAATCTGTCCTCATGTCTAGTTCTTCTGGTGTTCAGAGCTCTATAGCGTCGTTTTGAGGGTAGGATTTGAAACAGTTTATGTCCGGAATGTGAGGGGTGTATAGATATTTTCACAGCCCTCTTTTTGACTCGTGCAGGGTACAGGTCCTCCATGGAAGGCAGGTTGGTAGCAATGATTTTTTCCTGCAGTCCTAATTATCCTCTGGCATCTGTGTCTGTCCTGTTGGGTTGCAGAACCGAACCAGACAGTTATAGAGGTGCAGATGACAGACTCCATCCTTTCTCTGTAGAACTGGATCAGCAGCTCCTTTTGGGCAGTTTGAGCTTTCTGAGTTGGCGCGGAAAGCACATTCTTCGTTGTGCTTTTTTGATGACGTTTTTGATGTTAGGTGTCCATTTTAGGTCTTGTGATATGGTAGAACCTAGAAATTTGAAGGTCTCTACTGTTGATACGGTGTTGTCTAGTGTTGTAAGAGGTAGTAGTATAAGAGGGTTTCTTCTAAAGTCTACCACCATTTCTACGGTTTTGAGTGTGTTCAGTTCCAGATTGTTCCGGTTACACCACGAGGCAAGTTGTACAACCTCCTGTTTGTATGCGGAGTCATCGTTTTCTCAAATGAGACCAATCACTGTTGTATCATCTAAACTGCTATTTATTTATTTTTTTTTAAAGTACATTTCTCTGCACCAAATCACCCAGTTTCTGCTTTTTTCCCCACAACACAGAGAGCAGAAGATCTCACCGGGAAAAAATATTAACAGGGAGACATCAAAGAGCTTGACAACTGCCTAGTTTGTGCTTGTATATTGGTTAGATTTTTATCCCAACTTTACTATTTTATAAGTAAATTCAAGGGGGGGGGGATATGCCTAATCCTGTTTCCTGCTCCTTTTTTCCCCAATTATAACAACCCTGCGAGGTGGGTTGGGCCGAGAGAGGGACTGACCCAAACTCATCCAGACGGCTTTCATGCCTAAGACGGGACTAGAACTCCCAGTCTCCTGGTAATTGGCCCCAAAGTCACCCAGCCAGTTTTCTTGCCTAAAGCGGGACTAGAATTTACTGTCTCCTGGTGATTGGCCCCAAGTCAATCATCCGGCTTTTATGCCTAAAGTGGAACTAGAACTCACCATCTCCTGGGAATTGGCCCAAAGTCACCCAGCTGGCTTTCATGCCTAAGGTGGGACTAGAACTCACAGTCTCCTTGTGATTGGCCCAAAGTAGCCAACTTAAGCTTTTATGCGTAAGGCAGAACTAGAAGTCATCATTCTCTTCCTCCTGCTCCCTCTTTCCCATTCCTCCTCTTTCTTTTCCTCTTCTTTCTCCTTCTCTTCCTCCCCCTCCCCTTCTCCTCTTCCCCCTCCTCCTCTCCTCCTCCTCCTCCTCTTCTTCCACTCTCTCCTCCTCCTCCTCTTTTTCTCCTCTTCCTCCACTCTCTCCTCCTCCTCTTCTTCCACTCTTCTCCTC